CAGAATCCTGAAAATACAAATACTTAAGAAATAAAGAGATAGCCATTAAACAAAATGAGAAGATACATTAAGTGGAAAAAAAAAAGGGCCAAGAAAGTGGTGTCTCAGTAGCCCAAAGGAGAAGGAAAAGAAAGGAGTGCTCAGCCATGTGAATAAATCCAAAGCATCCATTAGATCCAGAAATCAGAAAGCCATCAGCGACCTGAGATGTGACATGGTAATGGAGCAGGCTGTAACCTACGATTGCAGGAGGTTAAAGGAAGGAGGGTAAGCACAGGTAAAGAATTGGAGACACATGACACAAGCTACTCTTTTAAAGATTTTGGCTAGGAAGGGAGAGAGGGGTACAATGCAGACACCAGTGGAAGATTCACGCTCAAGAAAGAATGTAGCTTTTCCTTGTTATTTCTTGGGCTCTTTTACTTTGTTACTTGTTTATTTGTTCGGGGATAGGAAAGGTGTTACCCAGTTAACCAAGTTGGGGGAAATGAGCTGAAGAAGAGAAACGGTTGAAACTAGACAAGTACAGAAGGGGAAGTAACTGATAGAGCAAGATCCTCAGATCAAGAACCCAGCTGAAGAGATTAGTCATAAGTAGATAAAAGACACCACTTTCCCTAAAACTATATGGGATTTTAAAAGCCAAATGCAGTAGCAGACAGGCTCACTTAGTACAGGGAATTGAATGAAGCAGGTCCCAGCCTCAGTCGTATCTGTTGAGGGAGGGGCAGAAGTTAAGAAAGCTCCAGACAGGAGGCTGGAGTGGTGATGGGACAAGAGAAAGAACAAGCGGTGCAGGGCTGAACACGATGTGGCTGAGTCTGGGAAACATGCGCTTGCAGGAGAACCGACCTACGTGACTATGATTTCTTCATTTTCTCATTCATTTCATAAATACTTATTAATGCTTCTTATGTGTCACATGTTATAGAAGGTACTAGATAAACAATAATCAACACCACAGCCATGGTCCTTTCCCTCGTGGGGCTTAATTTAGTAAAAAGGACAGTCAAACAAAGACAATTATGTAATTACAACTTGTGAAAAGAACTATGAAGGAAACACACTGGGTGCAATCATAAAGAACTTACTGATACGGATACTCTCTTTACAGGGGACAAAGGACAGGGAAAGACTCTCTGATATGGTGATACTTGAGAGGTAAAGAATAAAAAGGTCCAAAGAGAGGGTCTATTCAGGCATTTGCAAAAGTTCTATGGCAAGAGAGAATTTGTTGAGTCCCAGGACCTGAAAGGAGGTGGGGTAACTGGAGCATAGTAGGCAAGGAGAGAGAACATGATAAGACAGGAGATACAGGCAAGAAGCCAGAACATGAAAGATATTATGGGCAGCAAGCAAGGAGTCTAGACCTTATTTTGCCCAGGTGTTGGGGCAAAAAAGCAAATGACTGAAATGATCTACCATTGGCAGGGCATGCAACCGAGGCTCTGATGGTCCTCAATGGTGCAGGGCTGTGATTCAGACATCCTGATTGGAGAGAAAAGCTGGTCTCTGCTTGTTTCTAACTGCTGTGTGGCCAAGGTTTTCTGATGTTCCTGAAGACAGCAGGCTACTGGAATGCCCACCTGTCTGTGGTGGTTAGAAGTCCAAGGCTTCATGTAGTAATAGAGCAGCCTAGAAAGGCCCAAAGGTACCAGCAGCCAAACTGATCCCCCACAAGGAGCTGAAAACACAGGGCATATTCTCTCCATCTTATGGGGGAGATCACAATCAAAATAAGAGAAAGTGTACTGTTCAAATGAATATCCTAAAACTTTTATTTTTCCTTGTATGAGATAAATGAACTCGGAATCTTCTATCATCTAACCAAGCACAGTTTTCTCATTTAAAAAAAAAATGTGCAAGGACTATTATCATTCCAGTAGCCCAAATTTTTAGCAATCTCTAAATCTAATATACTTAACTATGCTTTGCAAAAAAAAAAAAAAAAGAATGAAATCACATCTGCAATTCTATGCAAAAGCTTTTCAATGCAATTTCATCATTGTAAAATGTGGAGAAATGCCATGTAAATGCATAATTTTCAATATCTTCTTAGTTCTGTGAGCTCCTGGGTAATGCTAGGAAAGGAGAAGGTGCTGTTTTATTCTGCAAAAAGAGGATCACTCAAGGTCAAAATAGAAAGCTGAGACACAGGACCTCTGAAGTCACCCACCGTCCCAGCTCCCTCAAGTAGCTACCGCCATAAACCTGCATGTACCTGGTGTAGAAACATGAGCTTGGTCTCTTCCCACCAGCATCTACCAAAATTAGCAACAGCACCTCTGGGTGCACACTCCAAGCATGGACGTTGTAAAAGCTCAATTCAGACTCTATTAGTTCAAAATTTTACACATTAACTTTTTTCAATTTTACACATTAAAAATTCTAAATTACTCATTATCCTGCAAATTTGCAGAAATAACTCCAAATATTAGTGTCTAAAATTCAGTCCTTTCATCCAAACAACTAAGTAGTATTTTAAGACTTTGTTTCTTTTAACTTATAAATATTAAAACTACGAAAATTAGGTAAATCAGACTATTCATGAATTATAATTTTCAACTATTTTTCAAGTTAGTTTTACTTCATCATATGTACTTAAATTTAACTTCTTAATCAATACTTTAATAATCCAATTTATTTTCTTTAAAAATTATCCTGCCTTCCTTTAAGTCAAACTAGCCCTGCCTTCATTATTTTGAATAAATAAGATTTTAATATTCCTGTGTAGGTATATACACATACATCGTTTATTACAAAGCTCTGTACCCTGGTCAATGGAATGTATTCTGCTAAAAGTTGGACTATATCATTTGAAAAAGTAATTTATAAAAGATGACACAAAAACAAATATTACATTATTTTACTGATACTGTTAAACAAAAACAATACTAATCCTGAGGCATTCTTTTAAAAATAAATCTAATGAAGTAAAATACTGACAAAAATTCTGTGCATTGAACATTCTACTATGTTAACATTATACAAAGGGAGGTTCCAACTAGACATCAATGAGAACTTTCTATATACATACTCAAATATTTAAATTTCTTACAAAAGTCCGTAAGAAATATAATCAAAAGCAATAGTACGGTATACACATAAAAGATTAAAAGCAAGTATAACCAACAATGATTATAGAGGGATAGAGTGCTGTTCTCCCTCTATTTTCCATTTTTCTGGTACCGTTTTGTTTAAGTTTTTGGAAAAGTATATATATTTTAAGCAACAGTCTCTGCCATCAGAACAAGAATTACAGGGGCAGTGGCCTTTTTAAATGATAAACCATCACCCTTGGGTTCATGGTCATACTAAAGTTGGAGAGATTTCACATTCCTCAGCACACAATAGATCTTTTATCAATATTGAAAACTGCCTTTGTGAGATTATTTGCTTAGAATGGATGGAATTCTTGAAGTTGCAAGCACTCATTTGATTATTTGAAAGAACAATGAATAAATGACTAATTAAAAATGTTTCTTGAGTTCAGAGATATTTAAATTACCAAAGAAAAGACCTATATCTAGCATTTTCTCCAGCAGTCAGGAAGAACAAATTGAGTTTGTTAACTGGGGCCAATGGTGCCCAAATGCATTGCCATCACAATTGTTAGTGCTGTCTTTTCCTTGGCCGACTAATGATTTTAAGTCCTACTTGATTCATAAATATTGTTTAATTATTTGCATGTTTCTTTGTTTATATACCTATATTTGCTCCACAAAAGAAAAACTTAACCAACAATGAAATGAAAACTGATCCTCATGCTCCTCTCACCCCAAAAAAAGAGGTGCATTTTTGGATGGGCAACTATAAAACTGCATAAAGACAATATAATATTAAGTAAAGAGAGTAGGTCTCAAAAGATCACATACATGCTACCTTTTTTATAAGGTTAATACCAACTAAACTTACATCTGCTTTGAGAGACTACAAGGAAATAAGCACTGACTTCAGGATGATAGATTAAATGAAGGCTAAGAGATGAGATGAATGAAAAGGACAATATGGTTAGATTACTGCCAAGGTCCTAGCTTTCATTTTGGGTAATGGATTCCCAGGTGATTCTGATATTAATTTAGATAGATAGATAGATAGATAGATAGATAGATAGATAGATAGATAGATAGATGATAGATAGACAGACAGATAGAGAAAGAAAGAAAAAGGAAAAAAGGAAGGAAGGAAGGAAGGGAGGGAGGGCGGGAGGGAGAGAAAGGAGTAGACCACGCATGGACCAATGATTAGAGTGTGTTATGAACCAAGTATTACTGAACCTGAAATGAGATGACATGAAATGACTTCACATGATAATGAAAGAAAATGGAAGTAAAAATGGCTTACAGTTTGTAGACTAGCACCCAACCTATGATCTCTGGGTCAACCCAAAAGTCACTTATCCAGGTTGTGGAACTGTCTGCTTCTACTTCCCTAACACTTTAAATTGTGCTGCCCAAAGTTACGTGTTCTCCAATGGATGTGAGACCTTGTACCATCATCGATGGACCTTTTGCTCAGAGAGTAGTACCTACACAGAAGGGGAAAAAAAGTAGCACAGAGGGAAATGCTACTGACTGTACTGACATCTACTGACGCTGGAATAGGGCTGACATTCCCCACAAGCCTCTGAATGGGCAACTGGTGATTCTTATTCATTAACCAAATATTTATTAAGTGCCAACTACAAGTCAAATGTCATGTCAACACTGATATCCTTCAGACTTACAATTAGGAGAGTCCTAACAAATACGTAAGGCAAGCCCATCACCTCCCAGACAGTCCCAGAATCAACATATTCCTCAGAAGAATCAAGATAACTTTTCAGGCCTTTTATTTAGCTATTTACCTACACAAGCCAATGCTGAAGCAGCTCACTTATAAAGTGAGGTTGACAGGCTTGCCAAAGTTAAAAGATGTCAAATATCTATTAGAAAAATTGGGGGGGAAAATTGCTCTTCAATAGACGAGATTTCATATGAGTGTGTTGCTGTTTGTTTTACCTGCTATCTCCAAAAGTGGGTTTATGTGATCTCCTTCTGCCAGCTTCACAAATCCAACCTGATTTCCAAAAGTGTCAACCCCTTGAAAGGGCAAAATCAAATGTTTGCCTCGCAGGATTTCTTCTATGAATGGTTTTAATTCCAAAAGAGCATCAATACCACTGGCAAGAGATAATATATTTTTCAGTAACACATTAAGTAATAAAATATTGAAAAAGCAAACAAGAAATAAAGTAATCAGCTTTAAAAACATAAAATTTTGATATTTGTATTAATTATTTTAAATCACAAAATACTTTCAAAATCTAATCTCTATGAGTAAAATAAAACTAATATTAATTTTTAAACAAAAACTATGGAAGAACTGAATTAAATCTTTACCTAATTATAATTGATATTGTATTAAAGACATGAAAGAAAATTTCCTACTTCACCAAGTTTTTAACCAAGGAAAAACTACAAGGACATTTAAAAAAAAATTACTGATAATATAGTCCAAAAAAACCTGATACCTGCAAGAGCTTACATTAGATTATGTGGAAAGTTCTAGATTCTTGTTAAAAGTACTAATACTTATACAGTAGTTACTATTTGTGAGGCACTCTACTAAAACTTAATATATATTACCTGTTAAAATATAAGTCTCTGTAATAAGATAAATTACTATACTTGGATTGATAAAAATACAAGTTTATATTTGCCAACCGCAACTACATAAGTTTGTGATATCTGTTTAGCCTATGTCCTTATAGGGCTGTTATGTTTCAAGTCCTTCATTTTTCTTTATAAAAATAAATATTCTATTATTGAATTAGACATTACTAGATTTTGAATATTTTATAAATTAGAATCTATTATTTCCATCTTGAAGAGGATTTTGGTATAGGTACTTTATTATGAGAAAAAAATTTAAATCTCACTAGAGGGCAGCAATTACTCAAAAAAGAAATAAGTATTCTTCTTTCTTCTTTTTTTTTTTTTTTTTTTTACATTATGGAAAGGGCTTTAAAGCGCCCTTCTGGTGAGCCACCATTAACTTAAATTATCTTGATCAGTGATGTTGACCAGTAATTATATGTCAATTGTGTGAAAAGAAATTTAGATATTTTTCTAGATCTTTCATATCTCCAAATTAGTTTTCATATAAAGTTTTTAACTGATTGTCATAGATAGCTTCTATACTAAGACTCAATTCTGTGTCATAACATAATGTACAATACTTAAAATAGCTCTGGAAATGTCAATTCTCATTATACCTTCAAATTCAAAAACCTAACTCCAATCTTTCCTAACTGTATTTATGTTCATCCAAAAAGACAGTGTACATGGGGTGGCCAGTTAGCTCAGGTGGTTAGAGCGCAGTGCTAACAACACCAAGGTCGCCAGCTCAGTCCCCGCATGGGCCACTGAGCTGCACCCTCCACAACTAGACTAAAGACAACTTACCTGACTTGGAGCTGAGGGGTCCTGGAAAAACACACTGTTTCCCAATAAAATTCTTTAAAACAACAACAACAAAAAAAATACAGTGTACACATTTCTACTGCAATACTGTCCTTTACTCTGTGCTATGAGTTAAAGCATGTAAAAATGCAACAGCCATTTCTGGCTCACCTATCATAAACTGGGGGAATTCAAGACACTGATTTTAAAAGTAACTATATACTAAAGTAAGCCATGCTAAAGGTTAGGGCTTTTCAGAGACAGTGAATTCTATATCCCACTTTTCTTAAAAGAAATACAGATGACCTTAACTCACTGCAGTTTTTCAATTTTCTGGTAGCATAAATCAATAAATTTGTCCTAATGCGATGTCATCAATCACAGTGTGAGAAGAGGTCATAGTGTCTATGGTAAGTATCACTAACTTCCCCATTATTTTAAATAGAATATCTTTTCAAGAGCAGTTTATGAAAGGACTTCTTGACTGAGAAGCTTGGAACAGTGCAAGAGAAAATATAAAACTTGTGCTGCAGCACCACCTACTGGAAAAGAAGAGAAAGTCCTCTTTTTATTAACTTACTAAATAGAGAAGTGACATTCTTAAAAAAAAGAAAGAAAATGCAGATTTCATTCCCATAAATGCCTAGGCAGAGAAATAATCCATCAACTACCATGAATAACCAAGGTACAAGGCAGCTCAGAAAGAAATTGAAAAATCTCCATAAAATAAATTTAAAAATATGAAAATATGTGATTTAAATGACAGAGGATTCAAGATTGCAGGTCTGAAAAAAACTCAACAAGATACAAGAAAACTCAGATGTGCACTTTAATGAACTCAGAAATAAAATCAATAAACAAAAGATGTACTTTGCCAAAGATTAAAACTTAAAAAAAAAAGAACCAAATAGAAATTCTAGAGCTTAAGAACTCAAGAAAAGCGATGGAAAATGAACTAGAACTTAGAAAATAGGACTCACCAGATGGAACAAAGAATTAGTGATATCAAAGACAGAAATCTAGAAATGATACAGATGGAAGAAGAGAGAGACTTGAAAGTAAAAAAAGAAAAGTGATGGGCTGGCCAAGTGGCTCAGTTGGTTAAAAAATTGGCTTAAGAGTGCAAGCTCTGGGCTGGCCAAGTGGCGCAGTGGTTAAGAGCTGGCTTGGGAAGCCAGAGGGCCCCGGTTCAGATCCCACATATGAGGGCCAGTGACACTGCCCTCTACAGCTAAGATCCTGAACAACAGCTCAACCTGGAGCTGGGCTGCCGTGAGTCGCCGGCGACGGCGTAGGCTGCAGCCCCTGCTGCAGTGGGTTGCCATGGGCTACCGTGTGTAGCCAGCAGCCAGCGTGAGCGGCCAGCAGCCGCTGTAAGCGGCCATCCAGAGGCCGGCGACTGATCTGCCTCGCCCGGGAAGAGCGCAATGATGGTGCCAACTTGGGCCAGTGAAGCAACGTCCTCCACAACTAGACTGAAGAACAAAAGGACAGCAACTTGTCTGTTCCCCTTCCCCCAATTCCCCAGCACTGTCCCCATCCTCCAATTCCCCAATAAAAATCTTTAAAAAAAAAAAATTGAAAGAATTCTACAAGAACTGTCTGACTCCATCAGAAGGAACATATAAGAATAATGCGTATAACCAGAAGTAGAAAAGAGGAAAAGTGGAACAGACTATTCAAACAGATAGTCGACAAGAACTTCCCAAAACTATGCAAAGAGTTGAATCCTCAAAACCAAGGAGCAAGCAGAACACCTCTCAATCCAAAAAGGCCTTCCTCAAGGCATATTACATTAAAACTGTCAAAAATCAACGAAAAAGAATTCTCAAGGCAGCCAGAGAAAAGAAAAACCTATAAAGGAAATCCCATTAGACTATCATCAGACTATAAGCAGAAACCCTACAAACTAGGAGTGAGTGGAATCAAATATTCAAACTATTGAAAGAGAGAAATTACTAGCCATGAGTAATGCATAGAGCAAAGTTATCCTTTAGCATTATTCATGGTGGCCAAGACATGGAAATAACTGAAGTATCCTTTGATAGTTGATTGAATGAAGAACATATTGTACATAAATAGAATGGAATATTACTCAGCCATAAGATAAAATACTGCCATTTACTACAACACAGGATGGATCCTGAGAATATCATGCTAAACGAAATAAGACAGATGGAAAAAGTCAAGAACATATGATTTCACTCATATTTGGGATATAAAACTGAAAGCAACAAACCAACAAGACAAATACACAAACAAAAACTCACAGACACAGACAACAGTATGATGGTGACCAGAGGGAGAAAAGGGTGGGGGAGATGGAAAAGGATAAAGGGGTCAAATATATAGTGATAGAAGGATATTTGACTTTGGGTGGTGAACACACAGTGCAATATATAGATGATGTATTACAAAACTGTACACTTGAAACCTATATATTATTATTAACCAATGTCACCTCAATAAATGTAATAAAATTTTACATTAATAAATAAATAGCAAGTGGCAGGTCTGAAATTTGGACCCAAGTATTCTAATACCAGAGCCCCACATTTGTCTTAATCTACAAACACAGAAATCAAATAGCTACAAATGTAGGAGTTAATTTTTAATGTGGATTTTTTATTATTGGATTTAATTCCAAAAGGAAATAAACCTACAACGCACATCTGAACATAGAGGCAATTCCATTTATGAAGCAATGTAAGTGAATTCAAATAAAACCATTATGTTTTTTTATTTGCATTAAAGTGCATGTATCACATTTTATGAAGTTTTGCAAATATTTGATAGAGGCATCATGTTTCTACCACCAAATTAAAAGCATAACATGAAGTCAGTAATTGAGGAATTCACTGGATAACTGGCAAAAAAAAAAAAAAGTACCTAACTAAATAAAATCGTCACACCAAATGAAAAAAAATACTTCCTTAAGGTAAAATGAGTAAAAAGTATGCACATGTAGAAAACAGAATTCTGAAACTGCAGTTCAGACCCAAAGACTGTATTTGAAATTAAGGCAGGACAGCCATCCACCAAGCAAGAAGGAATTCTGCATCTAGATTGCCTTTGAACTTGAGACTGCAACATCAACTCTTCCTTGGGTCTCCAGCCTGCCACATTAGATTGCCTTATAGATTTCTGACTTGCCGGTCCCCACAATTACCTGAGGTAATTCCTTAAAATAAGTCTGTCATATAGACAGATATAGATAGATATAGATATATAGATACAGAGATATAAAGATATCAATATATCTAAATATCCATATAGATATACAATCCTATTGGCTCTCTTTCTCTGGAGAACCCTAATGTACCATTCTAACACACACAGGGCACTACTCCTCTCAAGCTTTCATGTGTCACATCTGCTTTGGCTTCTTTTCTTTTAAGAGCATCAGAATACTGGGGGTATATACATTTTTTTGGCACCCTCTGTATTTATTTTTTTCTTCTGACTGGCAAAGTGAACAGCTACAGTGAGTGAAACCTCTGCCATTGCAGGGTGCTCAAAACCTGCTCTAGGATTGATCCAGTTGGGGTAGATCAGAAGACTGATCTCTAAAAACATGAGGGTCTACTATTTAAAAGACATGACTACAAGAATCAGAATGTACAATACATCTTGAGCTACTAATTTATTTTCTCCCTTTTACTTTCCCTTTTCTTCATCCACTTCCTAATTCAAGCCTTGTTCTTTATTCCCTCAGGAGACTGTATTTCAGGGTAGAAAACAGAAGTAAACTTCAATCCATTCTGGCTTTGGTTTTCCGGAAAGCGTAAGCTTGAGCTTAATCCAGAGAGCTACGCAGGAGGTACAGGAAAGGAGCGATGACACGTACAGAGTATCCCAGAGAACTGGGGGCAGAGCAAGGCTTCTCCACTTCAGGTCGGAAAGCAACAGTCAACGACTTATACTCAGACTTTATGGCACAAATGTGGCATTGGGCGTGAGGGGTGTGCAGGTACTCCAAGAATGAGTGAGGTAAAACCAAATGGTACACTGACCTAGTGGAATGGTAGCTCTAATCACTAATAATACCGAGTGCCTACTATGTGTCAGGCACATACTAAGAACTCTTACATGAACTAGTACTATTTTTTTCTCCATTTACTTACAAAATAATTTGATTACTGTCCAGCAGCTACTAAGCGGTGGCTGTACCATGGTTTCAGAGTCTTTACCTAGAACCCTAACCTAAATGATCAGACTCCAAAGTGCTTACATAATCAACATGGGCAAAACAACTGCATAATCAAGGGCCCCCATTTGATAACAAAAACATATCTTAAAAATCTCGATTAGCAAGAATGTTTACACAGCTAATTCTGTACATTGACCACTGGAATAAATTATAATAAAGACTACTTCTTTAAAAACTGAATGCCTTCTTGGGTTCTCGTTTACTCATATTAAAGTTATAATTTGAAAAACAATATTCAAGAAAGACACATTACTCACATGTTTATTTCATCATCGTTTAACAACTGCATCACTAGCAGGGTAACATGAAAGGAACCATCACCGGTCATGGCTTTGGACAGTCGCTTATCTTGTTGTATTATTGCATCTTGCAGGATCTTAACTCCTCTTGTAATCTAATCACACACACACATACATGCACACAAAATAGAGATTAGGTAAGCAAAATTTCCTTATGGCTAAATGTAAATTGAGAAGAAAAATAAGCAACAATCAAAATTAGAAATGTCAAGGTTCTTCAGCCAAACACTACCTAATTGTCTACTTGTTCTCAAACATCCTGATGACTTGGAAAGCTTAAGAGGGTGTATAAGTTTTGAAAGTCATGCAATGCTGAGCTATCTTAAGAGCACTGACTCTAACAACCTTATTTTACAGCCTGGGTCACTAGTTGCGCACAAAAACTTTCAATGGCCATGCATCTTTTCAGGAACTTGTCCTTGAATATACAGTATAACTTACCATAAATATGATCTTTCCTAAAAAGCACTTTTATTCTTGCCACAGAAAGGTCAAACCAGCAGGCAACAGTCCGTATCTGTTGGAAATATTTACTTGTCTCCTAGTGAATGTGTCTGAGAAGCTATCGTTCATGGCCTTGAAGATGTCTTAGGACAGCAATAATTTCAACAGGAATGACTACTGTCATTGTCCCAGTCATGTGAGGAGGGGCATAACCATGGAGAGAGAGTTGTGAAGAAGTCCCAATGTGTATGTTAGAAAACCGGTTACAGCCTCCATCCAGGTGAAACCCTTGGTCCCTCATCAGCCTTCCCCGCTCACTACCTCTTCTGAAACAAGGAGAGCAATGATACCTCTTCCCGCCTCCATTTCCAGTTAGATCCAATTCTAGTTGAATGGAAAATAGTTCGAATAGGAAACAGGAAACTGAGCAATACCCAAAGAAAAGAACACAGAAGCCCTGAAGCAGCAGAATTAGAGAGAAAAGGAAAGAGAGACCTGGGCGGGCAATAGAAGCAGAGTCCAAAAAGAAGGCAGAGATAAGAAAAAAAAAAAACGGAATCAGGAGCACAGCAGACTGTTCTGATACTAGAATGGCTGCTTTATCTTGAACAACATTCCTTTTGTCTGAGGAATGTGATGGGCAAATCATGAGATGCTGTCCTGGGATCTGATTTCTCATGTAACTTTACAATCAATCCCCATCACCCAAAATAACCTCGGCATTTCGCTATTCCTTGCAGTCTGGAAGAGAGTAACACAGGAAACAACCTGCGTTTTCCTGGTAGTAATTTACATAATAACACCTAACATAATATTTCCCTAAGCAAGATGTCACTTCTATGACACTCAAGGAAAGAACATTGACAGCCTGATAAAGAAAAAGCTTGTAACATGATAGTACACAAAGATCTTACAGTCAGTTCCCTCCTCTACAGAGATAAAACTAAATTGTAAATGTCTCAAGGGCAATATCTATTTCTTCTACCCTGCCACCTCACCACAGTGCCGAGTACTAATAAAAATAATATTTAAACAACAACAGCAGTAACTAACCTTTGTTGTGTGCAACTAGGTTCTAAGCACTACAGTAAGCATTTTACATACATTATTAGTTCCCTGAAGCCTTTCTACAATCCTATGAGGTAAATAGTTGCATTATCTCTATTAAAATAAGTTGAAACCCAGACAACTAAAACAATTCCTTCAAGATCATGTACCCAAAACAGCAAAGGAACTTGAGAAAAGGCTCAATTGCAATGCATGAGAAAAGATGATGGAGGGGCCTAGCGAGAAAGCCCAGGAGGGGTGAGGAGGAGGAGACGCAGCTAAGGAGCAATGGAGTAAGAGTTAAAAGAATTTTGTTTTCAAGAGGAAACAGGAGAGGGACGGAGATGTGGGTATGGACTAAAGAAATGAAACACTGAGGGGAAAAAAGACATTTATAGGGGATTTTTAGGAACTCTTACTGGATACTCTGTAACGGGACACACTGCCACTCTCAAAAAACCCTTTAGTGTATAAGTCTGTATTACTCTGCAATGATTTTAAATTTCAATTTTTAGAGTTTTTCCCTGGTGCCATGAAGTGCTGATATTGGATTTGGGGACTAATAACAAAGCAGCTCTAGAGGGTCGAGGTTCACATGGAAGGGCATAGCCCAGTGTCAGGAAATAGGTGTTCAAACATGTGACACCTCAAAACAGTATAATTACATCTTCAAATCTTAGCTGGTACAAATGATAATTCTGATTTAATGGATGATGAAAAAGTGGCTTAGGATGAGAACTTTATTACATAATACAGAGTGGTACAAATTAAGGGTGCTGGGCCTGCCTCAGAAATCCTGGATTTTAACCCAAGGTGTGATTATCTAGTCTCACTGAGTCTTGGTTTCTACAGTTGTAAAATAGGAATAATAAAATGGGCATTGCCAATCTTACAGAGTTGTGTTGACGATCACAGTAGACGAGCTATATAGCAGGCAAACTATTTTGTGACCTCTATACCATTTGCCTAATATAAGGTAGGTAACATTGTCAATTTTATTAATATCAGCGGTTCTCTACCCAGGGCAATGTTGCCTCCCAGGGTACATTTGTCAATACCTGCCACATTTTGGCTGTCACAACTATATGTTTGCTACTTGATTTTTCATAAAAGTTTAGTTTTCATTCTAAGTTCAAATACTAATTATATATAAATTCAAGACAATGCTCCAGAAATGCCATTCATTTGGATATTCAGCATTTTTGTGCAATGTCCTAAACGTAAAACAGTTTTAGATCATTCATATATTGGAATTATCTAGTAGCTTGTAAAGTTGCTAATTAGTAACTGTAAAACACTTTGAAGACTATTTCTCTGAAATCACACAGTACTTACAATGCAGGATTAACCTCAAACCTATGAAAATCCTAAAGTTAATCTAATCAAGTAATGTATTTCTAATTATACTTTGATGTACCAGATAAATTTATATATTCCTTGATATCAACTTAAGATTTTTAAATGCTTTTGATTCTTTATTACATTCTTAAAAGATAAAAAGAAATATACTTCAGAGTCTTCTCTGTATGGCCATTGAAAAAAGTACTAAAGCCACTAAAGGCCAAAGGAAATGAATTTTTATAGGTACTGTTTAAAACTCTATGACTCCATTAAAGCTATCTTTCACCATAATCCTCAGTCATTGGCAGTATTACATAATGCACATTTTAAAAAATCTAATACTACACAATCATAATTAATTATGACAATGAAAGAAACTTTTAAAAATAAAAGCTTTATTAAATTCTTAAATATTTCATTCATTGAGTAATTTCTTTGTGTTCAGAGAATAAATCAGACTCCCATCTGCTAAACCTCACCACTAAGCCATATACCACATGCCTAAAAATAATTCAGTGAGAAAATTTATTTTTCTATTTTTTAAGCTTTCTAGTTGACTCAAAGCATATATGAGTTCAAAGAAAATGTCTGAAAGCTGGTTGCATGACGGCGTGTATGCGTGTTACATCATAGTACACAGCAGAAAAACGTCTTTGACCTCATCTTTTTATAATTTGCTACCCAGTTTCCTTCAAAGCTGAATACTCTTATTTTTCTTGCTTGTCTACGACCATAAAAAGAACTTGAAAATTTGATGATATATATTGGGTTGTTGGAAAAGTCATGACGCATTTTTGCAATGAAAAACATAAAAAAAAAATACCTCATGACTTTTCCGACAACCCAATAGTAATAACTAGAGTAAAAGTAAAAAAGTATCCTCAAATAGGAGAATTTTCTTTATCTACCAAGTGCTTAACATATGTGATGATATCAAATGCTTTCAAATGCACAAATCTACTTTCATATTTTCCTAAAACCAGCAATTTTTTACATTACAAAATGATGAAATACAGAATTAAATGTCACAATCGCCTTTTAAACCCCCTAAAGAAAATCATCTTTTTCCAGTAGTATAAAAAAAAGTTTACAAAAAAATTAATACGCTTCTAATTTCAATCAGCTCCTGACTGTTCCCTTACATTTTTTCAATGTTGATTTGCCTTATATTATTATTTCTCACGAGAGAGCATGTAAACTCTAGCCAGTTCGGAAACATTTAAGGTTTTTTTTATAACTCCATTAATTTTTTTCTTGTCTATTTTTACTTTTTAACTAATGTATAACTGCAAGTAATGGAAAAACACATACTTTCATATACTCGCAATTAGGATATTTTTATGTAGCCATTCTAATTTATTCTCCAATTCTATTTTTTTAAATATGAAACCACAATCTTCCATTAATAGAGAACTCAAAACTCTAAAAACATGTTTAAAAATCAAAGATCCATGTAAGTCTGCATACTTTTTTCTTTAAAACTTGATGCCAACAAGTAGAGGCCAAAAGTAGAACAACTCATTGTCGATGTGCTAGCTTCCAAAAGCTTGTGTGCAGGTCACTTAATTGAAACTTGGAGAGTCTCCCATTGAAACAACATTATAAATGCTGCTGCTTTCCCAGGCCTTCTCACAAGAGCTCATAAGTAGCTTAAAAAGGAAATTAACATTAGATACTTGAAAACAAACAAACAAAAAGGGGCTCATACAAAAGTTATAAAATGCATCTCCTAATGTCCCATTCCTACCTCTCTTTCTTATATTTGTGTGTAGTTTTCTGTCACCTACAAATGAAGTCTCTTGAGAGGGAAACGTTATTTGCTTTTGAAATCTATTTCCCCTCCAGTACAAGTCACCCTACCTCCTGCAAGATAAACAACTGCTGTTGAACCTATATTATGAGACCAGCATTTGTAACATTGTATTTATTATTTATAAATGGTTCATAACTTAGTATGCCAGAAACACATCTTTGCCCCTGAAATGACAGTATTTGTGTATCTACTCTTGGCTAAGCATGGTTCTAGGTACTGGGAATGAACTGAAAAACTGTGAGCAACACTAGCAAGTGTTAAATTGAAAGGATGACAAATGACAAAAAGAAAGCTATAAAAGTTTGGGGTTTTTTTTGAGGGGGGGGTAGGCGGATAGGGAAGGGAGGCTGACCTAGTCAGGGTGGTTACAGCGGAGAGGCTTGAGCTGAGTTTTGGGTATTAACAAAACCAAGAGGAGAAGAAAGAAAACTCCCAGCCAGAGAAGTGAAGGCTTTCCAAGGGCAGAGGGAACCTGGCAAGTTCAAGGAAGGCCGATGGGCTCAAGCAGAAGAAACTAGGGCTGAAATGGAGAAGGCCAGACCACGTAGAACTTTATAGAATATGGCAAAGATGTTGTCTTTATTCTAATGTCAATGGGAAAATACTGAGACATATAAGCAGGGAGGTGACGTGTCCAAATTTGGGTTTAGAAAATGATCATTATCACCTCCATTTTACACCCTGAAGAAACTGAAACTGCAGAAATTAGGTAACCTCATCTATAGCCACAGAGGAGTTTGTGACCCAGCTGATTCATCGAACTCTAAAGCCTATACTTCCCACTTTCTATACAACCAAGAAGTTGAGACGCAGAGACAAAGGTTACACCAGTTTACAGGGTGAAAATCAAAGACTTGTACAAGATTCTCTCTCATCCCCTCCCTACTCTCACCTTTGTGGCCCAAATCCTGAACTAAGTGGTGGAAGAACAGAATTTTCTCTCCCCTCTTTCCTCTCAGTTCCCTTCCCCACCTGCCCTGCCCCACCACATCACCCCACCAATCTTCCCTGAAAGAGGAGGTGAGAAGCCAGAACAAGGCGAGGAGGGCTGGGGCAGGTGAACATGAGAGCCAAGAACTGAAGTATGAAGGGAGAAGACAAAACGAAGGGCCTAGTTAAAGCAACTCTTAGGAGTATATACCAAGCTTCTATACTGATAGACTGTAGTGGAACAATCTCTAAGCAACAACTCAAAATAAGGAACCTGGAATCTCTTATGATCAGAAATCACATGTCCTTGGGGAGGAGTGTATACTAAACTACTGAACTAATAGATTGTTCCACTACAGGAACAACCTCTAAGCAACAAATCCAAATAAGGGACCTGGGGTCTCTTACAGTCAGAAATCACATGTCCTTGGGGAAGTCATTTGTCCCATTTCACATTCAGTTTCTTCAGGCCCTGGCTTCTGTCTGCTCTATTAAGCAGCTCTGACTTCCTGCTCTCTTCTAATTCCTGTATATACACCTGATCCTATATTTCAAAGAAAACCTTTCCAAATAACTCACAAATATTTTAATACATCATTGTTGGTTACATTAAAGTTTGTATCAACTAAACACTTTTAAGGTCTATTTTACAGTTAACCTACCAGTATGTACTAGCAAAATCAAAATATGATTCTTGACTGCATCAAATTCTAAAATCTTGTACTAGATTGTGCTAGGTAATACAATTTCTTTTTATGTTTCTACTCTCCCCAGCTAAACTATATCGCACAGGTTAGATATTCCCTAGAATGCCCCCAAAGATTTTTTTCTCTTGATATTTATTTCTTTTGACTTTAACTTTGTTTGGTTTGATTTTTAAAAATTCATTAGCATTCCCTAGACACATTTTCTTTAAGGGGAGAAGCAACTTGAAAATGTGCCTGGTAAAAGAGATTATATTATAGCCTACAATCAAACAGCAATTCCGATCTGGCTCTTAAATTGGGCCAAGGTGTGACAGCAGTCTTCTGAGAGAGGTGTTCTTTGCTGAGGCATTCAATTCCTCCCTCACTGCCCGAGCAGGTTTAATTATACTGTAGTTTTCTCTCTAAGCCAAATATAAGGAACCAGGGTTTCTTAGTATGAACTAATTGGAGGATCCAATGTCCTATTATTCTTGCCACATTAATTTTTTCAGATTTTTAATAGATTTCTACCAAGTCTGTCATTCAATATTAAGTTGATACAACAATGAGTAATTTTTATGTAACAATCATTATTACCATATTAAAATATTTTAATTAAAAATATTTTAATTAATATTACATATTTTAAAATATTTAATTTTTAAATGAGTAATTTTTATGTTACAATCATTAGTACCATAAACAAGACTATGCAGCAAGAAATCCCTGTTGACTTTCCCAGCAGACTTCAGAATCCTCTTTTTCTACCTGGTCACTGCTCTCAGCTTCTGAGAGGTTCCTTTGTTATGGTGAACAAAATGCTTACAAGGGACCTTGGCATACCATCTAGTAATACTTTTTCAAGTGGGTTTTGCACAATTATGTTTCCCCCCCCCTATTTATTTATTTTTATTTTTTTAATTTTTATTTATTTTTTTAAGCTGAGCCATCCTGCCACCTGTTGGCAGCTCAGCAGCTGCTCAGCTTGGGTTGAGAATTGAACCACTGTTGCTCAGAGCTCAAACTCTTGAGCGAGCTCTTAACCAACTGAGCCACTCGGCCGGCCCTGCACAATTATGTTTTAAATATGATTGTTTAAATAATATCTTCCAAAACTATTTTAAAAAATATATTCTCTTATTTAAATAGAAATATTCTCTGCATGGCCTAGCCAAAATGCCACCAAGGACTCTCAAAACTGAGAGCAAATGAGCTTATCAGCATTTAGTGTAGTTTAAATGTAATTGAGAGTTTCATAGCAAAAACATTTTTTTTAAAAAAATAGCACCTCTTTGTTGGTGATCGGAATGGACAGGAAATAGTTGGGTTGATAGTCTTTGTGCTTTTTTCTCCTCTTCTGTATTTGATCTTTACTGATCCATTCATTTTCTTTACTTCTCTCCAAATTTATTTGAGGTACATCGGTGACTAGAGGAAAAAAGTCAGACAATAATATATCTAATGCATTAAGACAAAGATAATACAGTTAGGAAAAAAAGAAACAAGCACTGCATAGTAGCAATCATTCATAACTGTCATTTCCAAATCTAAAGAGTTAGAAAACTATTCTGTAAAGGACATCACAGTAAATATTTTAGGCTTTGTGGATCATACAGTCTCAGTCAAAAATACCCGTCTGTTGCAGACAAACACAGATGAATAGGTATAGCTATATTCCAGTAAAACTTTATTTAAAACTTAACAGCCATTCTTGCCTCCAATTCACAATTTTCACAATACTACAAAAGGTTATTTTTTCTCCCATCATGTATATGCATATTTGTGACTCCTACAATACAACCACTTGCAGCAGTGCCACTCAAAGTTTGGTTTGTGGCCAATGTCACACTACACATTATTAGTTGAAAATATTAAGAGACTGCTTTAGAAACTTTCATAGAAATTAGGCAAAGTAATGTTGTCTATTGAATTTTTATTTCTATTCTGTTGGTCATTTTTTACATAATTTTTCTAATAATTCATTTTTTTAATAGAAAATTTTTAAAAAACAAAACTGGTCCTGGACCATAGATCATTTGAGAAGCACTTAGCACACTTATTTTTTTTTTAAAGATTTTTATTGGGGAATTGGGGGGATGGGAACAGTGCTGGGGAATTGGGGGAAGGGGAACAGACAAGTTGCTGTCGTTTTGTTCT